ACTGTGTCGATTTTTTTCTGGGGCTTTTTGTATAAAATCGGTAACTCACTCATTTTTAGGCTCTAAGGTTTAAAAACTTGGGTTTTATGGGTAATTTTGAACGCTTTATCTAATGAGATCATAAAAATCGTTTTAATCTTGAATTCTTCGGAAGATTCGGAGTCATATATTTTAAGAGCAGGAGCGGCAGATATATTAGGATATCATTTGTATTGATATGTGTAATTAGCCATTTATAATGAAATTCTTTTTACATAATTTGTGTAGAAATAAAAGAAAATCGTCTCTGGTATAAAACTTTTTGAAAATTTCAGGTTTTTTGCCCAGAAGTAAGGTGGTTTTCAGGTTTTCCCAAACATTTCAGGTATTTCAGGTTTTTCAGGTGAAATCTCACTCCTGAGCATCCTCAACTTTTTAATTCTTACCGCTCTCCACCTCTGTGGTATTGTTCGCTTTATAATTATCCTCTGTCGAGAAAGACCGTGAATCGTTTATCAATACACGCCAAACGGAAGTGGTACTCACTAACGGAATGGTGATAACGTTTGAAGTTGTATCTGTGGACGACCTAGTCTCAACTTTGCTAGCACATGTGACAGTTGTAGTAGTAACTATTTCTGTAGATGTACTATCTACAGAATTAGAATTAATCTGAATGACGATAGAAAGTATGATGAATACCAAAATCAACAGGTAAAACATTACTTTAATCAAGTCGCTTTTCCTTATACGATAAAAATCTTTTAAGCAAATATGAAACAAGTCTGTACAACAAAACAAGTTTGACCTGTAGTGGTTTAAGTATTCGTGATTTAGAAGATTTATCGGCAGGTATACGAGTTTATACTGAATTAGACATTCAATCACAACGTCAATATGATAAACAATATTGGTTTGATATTACATTAATGACAGAAGATGAATTAAAAAATAATTTATTAAATGATGTTGGTGATCGACAAGAGGGAATTAATCAGGCTTTGGTAACTGATGTAACTCAAACATTTAAGAATAAAACTCAACAACAATTGGAACAATTAGAAGAACGAATAAAATCAAAAATTGAAAAAGAAAAAGAAATTGATACAGAAATGTATTTTGTTAAAATGTTTAAGTAGGAGTTTACAAATAAACATTTCAGCGGCATTATTAACATTACTGTGAATATATTCAATATATTTTTAAAAAAAAATTCCTAGCAAAAATATAACTATTTACGGGCAAAACTCTTACCCGAAATTACTTGACTTGAAAGTTTTTCAAGTCCACCCATGGTCAAGAAAAAGTCGCTCAAGTCAAGTCACACCCAAGAAGATTTTCGATCAAGTCAAGTCTGACTTGACTTGACTTGGACTTGAGGCTTTTCTGATCTGACTTGCCCAGTTCTGCTTCAGCATCCAGGACAGGACAAAATATGAAGAATATCACGAGTTTTATTTAGTTACTAGAAATAACCCATGGAAAACCACGGACGCCCAGCATTTGTATATGTTGTAAGAATTCTCTATGTTGCAAGTTTGAGCAAGGTAGTGCATATGGTTCGCTCTAAAGGTTATGATCGAGTTTCTTGAATTAAAAACCATAAAAGCTTCAGTTTACTTTGCATGCAATTTTATTGAAATGAATTCAAAGTTGGAAGACTTCCTTAAAAACAACATCGCGGGTAAGTTGGTGTTCATCTCGCAGCAGTTGTCCTTGTTGGGGGTTTGGTTGAATTCGCACTTTCACTTGCTGGGGATTTCTTGATCGTGACAATGCGACATAAAGCTGTCCATGCGAGAAAACGGCAGTTTTGAGATCGATTCCGACATGATCGAATGTCTGTCCCTGAGATTTGTTGACCGTTATTGCATAAGCCGGAATGATGGGGAATTGTCGACGTCGCAGAATGAAGGGCAGAGTTGTGTCGCTTGGCGCCAAGTCAATTCTTGGGATGAAAACAGTGACACCACGATTGCATTCTGAGATGATTTCTGCAGTGATGAAGTTGCGATGAAGATCCCTTACGATCATTCGAGTACCGTTACACAATCCCTTCTTTGGATTGAGATTTCTCAGCAGCATAATGATGACACCTCTCTTCAGTACCAGAACAGGAGGAGGCATGCCTGAAGGAGTCTGATCGTTGAGGAACTCGATTGGATAGTTCGCTGCATCATTCGGATCTTCTGAAACGACCGAATCTGCGCTGTGGTAAATGGCCGGATCGCCAGGTAGCAGTTCAATGATCGTGCGGTTCATTTCGAGCGATTGTTCGTTGGTCGGAGGAACAATATTGCGGAGAAACTCGGGATATGCCAGTTCGACTCCGTTTTCATCCTTGGGCTTAGGCAGCTTGACTTTTTCTTTGCGGCAGCAGCTGGTGAATTTTCTATGGGCGCTCAGCCTTGAAGTTTCTCGATCGACATAATTGACAGATTTCATTCATTGGACCACAATTGTGGGCAACAACGCGATTCTCTTTGAAGTGAATAGCCTCTTCTCGACTCTGATGGCTTCGTCGCTCTTGGACTAAGCGCTGACCTTCGGCAGCAGCTGCTCGTCGTGTTTGCGATTGCTCGGGCGTTTCCATTTGTCGTCTCTGTTGATGAGATTTGGCATCTGCTGCTTGCCGTGCTTGAGACTGCTATGAAGTCTCTAATTGACGCTTCAGGCGTTTTGCTTCAGCTTCTTCTGTTCGAATTCTATCAAGAGTTCCTTGACTTTGACGCGCTTTCCGTCTTTCGTTCCTTTCTCTGGCTGAACGACGCTTTCGCGCTCCCGGATCTTCGTTTTCATCCATGGTTTTCAATTTAAAATATATTTAACAGCGATGATGCGATGTTGATTTCGATTGAGACTCAATGAAATTACCGAAATTTTAATGATTTCTCCTTTGCTGGCTGTAAAACGTTGACCAGAACGCTTTTCGGTTTGTTTGCGACGCACTGGAAATCAAAATTTCCGTTTACATGCGATGTTCCAACGAAAACTTGCACAAACTTACGAAGTTTTTGTAATTTTTCCTTTACCGGATCTTCAGTGACGCTCTGGAAAGCACAATTTCTATTTACATTCGAAAATCCATCGAAAAGGTTATTGATCTTACTAAACTTCAGTGAATTTTTGCAGATAATAAAGTGCTTCAAAGAAATTGATGCCCCGAGGTTGCTCAACATTTGTTTTATTACCGCTTTAATTAAAAACTGTTTTTTTGGGTTTTACCCTATAGATGGCGCTGTTTAGTGTCTTGGGAGCGTTCCGGACAGACGGACGGACAGATATATCTTGACTATTCTTATGCATATAATTCATTTGTGACACCGGATTTGAGCTCAGCACCCTCGATTACCTTCGGACAACCCTTATCCGGAAATTCATTTTTCAATAACTGATTTATTAACTTGTATATTAAGTAATAACTCATTTCTGGTATCGGATTCGGATTCCCACCCCAGTTACCCTCTGGTCAAGCTTTAAAGTCGTTTGCGTTTTGGGTTTTACCCAATACATTGGCACAGTTTAGTGTCTTGGGAGCGTTCCGGACACATATGTCTTGGCTATTCTTATGTATATTATGTAAAAAGGACAACCAAATAAAGAGAAAGCAAGTGTATATTGAATTTATTCACAAGCACAGATTTATCAATGATGATACGCTAGTCATAACTCAGAGTGTATTGTTTAGGTTCTAATTTTCCGCAAAAGATGTCAAAAATATGAGTTTTTCGAATTTTCAGCCATAAATTTGGTTTATAGAAGAAATTTTGCCCGTCTAACTACTACCCCCCTCCCTCCCCCCCATAATAGAAGGTTCGGCAAGTCGACTTCTCAAGGGTGGTCTTCTATTGAGGTCAAATTTTTTTCGCTTACTAGTAACGCCAGAAAGTGTTTTTTATATCAAAACTAGTATTATGCTAGGATTTTATTAATATTTTCTTTTTTTCATTGCCTCTTTCGAAGAAAAATAGGTAGTTACAAGAAAATATCCTCATAAAAAATTGCAATGATTTCTTTTTTATTATTCTTTTATATTTTTTTCAAAATAAGTTGTTCCAGAATGAAAACAGTGTGTTTTGCTTCATTTGTATCGGTTTTTTCTAACGGTAGCAGTATTATCGTTTTTTTCTGAAGTTTTCCACGTCTCCGTATTACTTTCGCGCTTTTTATCACCTTCATCATCTCCAAAATTGATTAATTTTGGATTAAAACTGTACCCAGGAACACAGTTTAACGTTAAAACGTCATCGCTGTCCCACGTAGATTAACCGACGTTTGAGCGCCCGACATTTGAGCGCCGACATTTGAGCGCCGACACTTGAGCGCCCCGACATTTGAGCGACTGACATCTGAGCGACCGACACTTGAGCGACCGACAGTTGAGCGACCCCGACACTTGAGCGACCGACACTTGAGCGACCGACATTTGAGCGACCGACATTTGAGT